GGTGACTCATTACTTGTGGGATGTGGACCCCACACACCCCACAAGTGGGGACTTGTGGGATAGTGGGGAACTTGTTTTATGTGTAAGCTGTACTCGATGGCCTCAGAGGTCCCTTCCAACTTTCAGTTACTGTCATAGCGGGCATTCTTTTGAGAAGTGTGTATATACAGGTAGTATTAAATGACCACTGAGGTGCCTTGAGATTCCTGTCTTTCCCAAAGGTCAAAAAGTAACTTGACATTTCTTTGCAGGTGAAACTTGTTTGACAAGTTTTTGTGGTTGCTTTTGTTTTTGTTTGGAATCAGGGGTGTCGGAATGGACCAGAGCAATTATTTCTTTGGTGTTGGGAGCTCCTAGGGAGGGAATTCCCTCCATCAATGCACCTGTTTTGCAACTTAGTGATTGAGAGAGTCACCTGGGTGCCCAAGAAGTTAAGTGATGTGTTTGGTGTGTGTTAGAGACAGGAATGGACCCCGGGGTTTCCAGACTCGGAGGCTTGTTATTTCTCTACCTGTTTCATGCTGCCTCTCTTCATCAAGTTTAGTATCCCAAAACAGTTTGAGACCCAAAAGGTAACCCAAAAGTCCGTCCATGGAGCCTTTTCTAAAATGGCCATCTCATTTCAGAGATTGCTGGTGTGGATGTCAAAAGAGTTAGCTTAATCTCTCCAGAGCAGTATTTAATAACCAGCAGACAACTGTCAGCCCCGTCTCTCATGCCTTGCTAGAACAGCATACCACTTATGGGCTGGATGTGGGCTTCCGGCCCTGGAATCTCTCATTGTTATTCATCACCCCAAATCTTTCCTGTTGCTCTTTGCTGACCCTGGCAGAATTGGGCTGGTGGGGGAGAGCCAAGCTCTCTGTCCCTCCCTCCACAAGGACCTGAACTCAGAGGAGATATAAACACAGTTTCCCAAGGAAGGAAGAGTGAGTGAACCCTTTATAACCTTCAGAATCAGACCCAAAAACTCTTTAGGAACAGGAAAAAGGCCACTCCAGTCTTTGTTTGGTTTGATCTCAATCCTACCTTCCTGTTTCTTCCCTCCCAAGCCCCTTTGGATATTCTCTGGAAACTAAAACTAGTTTGGTCCGTGCCCTTCTTTTCTGTTCTTGGTGTCCTAATGCCTTTCCCTCCTATGGGCTTTGCGATAATAATAATAACAATAATAACCAATATTTTACAGTGCTTTAAGATTTGCAAAGCATTTCACAAGTGTTAATTCATTTGATCATTCTCTACAGGAGGTTTCCTTAATACCAGGCTTCCTCTTCCTCAACATAAAGAAGAGATACAAAAAGACCAGGGTTTAAGTCTCCCCTCTGACATAGGCCTTGGACATCACTATTTTGGGTGAATAAAGGGTTCTTTAAGGCTTCCTTCTGAAAACTCAAGACAGAATCACACTCAACTCAGAATGGCACCCAGTTCGATATTTATTTATTTTTACTATTTTTTTTGTTTGTTTTTTTGCAAGGCAATTGGGGTTAAGTGACTTGCCCAGGGTCATGCAGCTAGTGTCAGGCATCTGGTCTGAGACTGGATTTGAACTTGGGTCCTCCTGACTCTGCACCACCTAGCTGCCTCCAGTTTGATATTTATTTACAGATACCTTTTACCCTCAGGGATCACCATTGCCCTTTGCATAAATTAACAAGTTTTTACTAAGCCAGGCATGGTGCTTAAGTGTTGGGAATACAAAGAAAGGCAGAAACCACCCCTGCCCTCGAGGAGTTTCTAATCCAGTGGGTAGACAGCATGATAACAACTACATCCAAACAATATCCATAGAGGATAAAAGTCTCCCTAGAAAGTGCCAAGGCCTATTAAAGAGAACTAGATTTGAATCCAATTATTGACACTTTTACCACTTCCTCAATATGGTACCACTTCCTGGCACCTACCCTGCCCCAGCTGTCCAGTGATTCACGCTATTACATATCCGGGGTGGGGTTCTTAAACTTTTTTTGGTGTGGACTCCTTTGACAATCTGATAAAAAGTATACAGACCCTTTCTCAGAATAATGTTCTTAAATTCACAAAATTAAATACATAAAGGAAGCCAAAGGTTAGCAAAAATAAAAATTTGAAATAAACATTTTTTTCCCTATTCAAGTTGATGGACAGCCTACTAAAATCTCTAGCACTTAACCTCTCTTGGGAGGCCTTGAGAGAAATGAAGTCTCCTCATCTACATCACTCTGAAGGCAAGGTGAAGAACCCCCTATTCTTGGGTGTCTGGAGCGCACCTAAAAATTTCCACCGCTTGTCTCAGATTGCCTGGAACAATTATAATTGCGGTCCCCACCAAGTCATTCATCTGAATTTGTGGTAGCAGAGTATCTTCTCTTCATCAGAGCACTAAAGTTTTAAGTTACATCCTAGTTGTTCTGCAGTCACATTGTATTTTCAGGTCTTGGTTGGAGGTGGAGAGAAAGGGGAAATGATGGGAGGGGGGATTTAGGAGTAAGCTCTTTGTTTTGTTTTTAGAGGGGAGGTGGAAACTAGGTTGTTATTCACTGAGGGATGAGTTCTGTGACCCTGTCCTTTAGAAAGATCTCTGGTAATTGCACTGGGTGTGTCCAGTGTCCAGGATGGGGTTAGGGGAGCCAGCGGGAGTAAGTGGTGGCCGCATAGACCCTTTCAGGACAACCCTTGGCAGAACGAGGCACATCAAGTCTGTCATTTTCAGGTCCTTAGTCAGTGCTGGCCATAAAACAAACGCCTCCCAGACCTGAAGCCTTTGTCTTCTCTAGGGTTGGCTGGGCAGCAGAGTAAGCAGAAATTTAAGCTTGAGAGCAGAAGAAACGCAGGAAGGGCCATTGAGGTCATCCTCGAGTTGCTACAGGCACAACCAGGAGGACCCCCCCCAATAAAGTCAGCAGCAGAGAAGAGGAAAATAAGAGCAGAGGCCAGGCTGAGTGGTCCCTTTTTCCCGGGGAGCCTCATTTGGAATGCAGATTGAGAAACTCAGGGCACTGCTTGGGGAAAACTTTCCCATTCACTTCATCAACACCACAGCTGTGCGCCAGATGCTGGGATTCCTGAGGATAGCATTTCTCTCCCAGAGACCTGCCTTCGAGTGAAGTAGATGGAGAGAGCGAGCAAAGTTGAATTTCTCTCATGACCAGAAATAAAAAGCATTGGCATGGTGCTGGGGTTGCTTAGGACTCTCCCAGTGAGCCAGGACCCAAACCCGGGGTCAACCAGGGACCCCAAAGGGAGGAAAAGTGGCGCTTAAACAGCCAGAGAATTAGATTTCTTCAAAAAGTTCTGCTGGGACCTCAGGCACTAAGGGAGGAGGGAGAGTTAGGACGGCTGGTGTGCAGTCTTTGGAGCTAAGGCAGAAACAGGAACTGGTTTTGATTACAAAACCCTGCTGACTTGGCAAGGCATGATTTAAGGAAGGAGGAAAGCTTGCTATTACATCATCTTTGTGAGGCAGTGTAGCCTCTAGGGTGTAGACAATCCAATAATAGATTTGGGAAAAAGCTGGATTCAAAACCCACCTCTGATGCCTCAGTTTCCTCATCTGTAAAATGGAGTTGGTCATACCTGTGGCACCTCCCTCACAGGGTTGTGACATCACATATCTAATGTCCATTACTGTGGAAACATCGCTTGGTCTTTTTTTTTTAATTAATTTATTTCGATTTATCAGCAATCACTT